TAGGAGCTCACACTGGCTACTTAACATGACCTCATAAATAAAAAACATTTTCTTTATGAAGATATAGATAGTATTTTCTAATGAGCATATAGAAAAAAATTAGGACTTATCTGCCATATAAATATATATTTTTAAAAACTATTTGACCACAATGTTTCTTTCTCTTCCTGTTCATCAAAAACAATTTTCCCTGCGTTTCTTTCCCTTTTTTTTCCAGTGGTAATTATTTTTATCACAGTGAAGATAAGATAATCCTGTTTCTCAACTCTAGAGCTCCATGCTCTGACTTGTTCTGTATTCAATGGTCTCCAATGTGGGAAATGCTCACCTGGGGGATGTTCAAAATGATCTGCTGCAATGTGAGAGGAAAATACTAGACCTTCTATTTTTACTTTTCATCTTTTCTTAAATTAAGTTCTACTAATATTTTGTGTATAGGATGACATAGATGCCTGGTGGCTTCTGAAAGCATTTATTTCTGTAATAGTTACTAGAAACAGAGTAAACAAAAAGCACTGAATTAGATTAATGCTTCATCATACTTGAAACTAAATACAAGAATGAAAGCTGCTACAGTATAATGTCTTTAACTTCATGGACTTCAATTTATCTAAATGCGTTTTTCTGTACTCTCAAAGAACTCGTCTTATGGTATAATACAAACGGAATGAGCTGATGAACAAAAGTGTGGAGGAGCTGAATTGGAGAATTTTATTTCAAGAAATCTCTGATTTGCGTACAGTCCTGAAGCTCACAACCTAGAAGTTTAAAAAAATCAGGTTACCTTTCACTCTCATTAAATTAAAATGCAAGATAATGCAAGGGTTAAACATTTCCTCTCGGACTGATAAAAAATGAGTCGGAAAACATCATGCTGGTAGGAACACAAATTGATAACACCAAATTTAAAACAATGTTGTCTTGCATGGTAAAAGCTAACTAATGTCCTTAGACTTCAGAACCAATAATTTCACTCCTAGGTATATACCCTAGAGAACCTCAAGCACGTGTTCACCGGGCAACACATACACAAAGGCACGAAAGAGCATCATTCGTAACAGTCCCATACTGTGAACAACTCAGAATTTCAAAGGACTATATGGATGTACATGGTGTAGTCATACAACAAAACGTTCAAGAAAAGTGGAAATGAAGTTCAGTTACCTGCCTCAATACGGATTAATCTTACAAATTTAGCATTGAATTAAAGAAGAAAACACAATTATATCCACTGGAACTCCACTCAAAGTTAAAACAGGTAAATTAACCTATACTGCTCAGGGCATATACAAATGGTAAAATCATAAAACACAATAAGGAAGTGATCACCATAAAAAAAGCAGCAGGGCAGTGGCTCCTCCAGGTGTTGGAGCAGGGATGTAAATGAAAAGAACACTAGGGGGCTTCTGGGGTGTTGGCAATGCTCCATGTCTTAACTTGGGTAATATGTGCTTCATATTATGTTTCATAACTATTTATTATATATATATTTATATATAAAACAAACTTTTAAAGTACTTTTTTGGTATGATAATGGTATTGTGGTTATGTTAAATATGAATCATCTCTTAGAGATAAATACTGCCATATTTATGTATAAAGTGAAATAATGCTTGGAATTTGGCTTCAAAATAATACAGAAAAGAGCAAAGTAGATGCACTGAGACGAACAACATCAGATAAGAACTGATATTGTTGAAGCTGAGTGTATGAGGTTCAGTATACAACTGTCTACTTTTGAATTATTATTTTTGCTGATGTCACTTTTTTTTTTTTTTTTTTTTGCGGTATGCGGGCCTCTCACTGCCGTGACCTCCCCCGTCGCGGAGCGCAGGCTCAGTGGCCAAGGCTCAGTGGCCAAGGCTCACGGGCCCAGCCGCTCCGCCGCACGTGGGATCCTCCCGGACCGGGGCACGAACCCGCGTCCCCTGCACCGGCAGGCGGACTCTCAACCACTGCGCCACCAGGGAAGCCCTGATGTCACTTTTTAAATAACTATAAATGGCAGCCACCACATGGCTTGCTAAGAAATAGCTTGTTTTACTTTGACGTATATATTAAAAAACTCCAATCTAAACTGAATAAAGATCAATTTAATAAAAGCATTAAAGAAAACCATTTCCTCTCTGACATTTACAAACTTACAAAAGCATTCTAGTTTCTGAAGATAAATGGCTTTCTACTACCATCTCACCCCCTCTCCCAGCTTGAACTCATCCGGAATGCTATGGACACTAACTTACCAGCACTTCTCGACTGTGCTATCAGCACAAAACAGGGTAGGAACACCAAAATCCTTATGCCAAGAGCCTTTCTAGTTTGTCTTCAAGCTCATGTATACAAATTGAAACTTTCTCCTCAGGTATAAGCAGCTTATTGTCTCTATGAAGAAATCCAGTAGCCACTCCTGAGGCAGGACAGGCAGTTCCAGTGAATAAGATAATCTTGGTAATTTCTAGGTTTAGCAATACAGTTAAGACATTTGAATCAGTCCTCTACACTGCCTTTCTACAAAGTAGGGATATTTTTCATTTCTCCACTGATAAGTGTAATTTTCCATTTCTATTACATAAATTCATCTACTAAATGTTTTGAGATGCTTGTGGTTACATAATGTGATTTTCTGTGTAATTAAACAAATCAAGAGCATGCACATTTATGTTTCCAGAAAAAGGAAAAATGACAACGTATCTATCATACTCATACCTCATTTAGGGTGTTTGGAAATGTGATTCCTAAAAAAGGAAGTTCTACATGAATCTATGCCACCTGAGGTCCTTATCACATAGTACTGGTGGAAATGCACCACACTTGAGCAAACACTCTTGTTTGACATAAATCCCCTGAAATTATAGAATGCCTTCACCTAGAGTTTCCTCTAGCCACCTTTCATAGAACTGTTGGTTCATACTCTCAGGCTGCAGTAACAGCTTTCATGCTTTTCATGTCTAAGGTCTAAGGTTTTCTAGCAACCCCTGTCTACTGACCCATTCCATCCCCTTCCAATTCTTCACCCATTTCCCTCGAAGAAACCTTAGACTCTCTAAAATATGGAGCACAGTGCCCTTCCTTTGTTTTTTTTTTATATGGCAGTTACCACATCATCACTTAAAGACACACACCCCTACTATTATGGATTAGAACTGCACATCAGAACAACAACAAAAATGAAGAAAAGTCACTGTAGGAAATGAATCGTATTGCAGAACACACTACACACATGATTGCAGACTGCTGAGGAGGACTCACTGGCTGGGAGTACAGGAAGGAGAAGGTAACTCACTGGCCTACAGGATGCAGTCTGGTCAGGCAGTGCTAACTCTCTATCTGGGCATACAGTAACATTAAACATTCAAACTACTGGGAAAAGGATACGTTCTTCACTTGAAAGAACAAAACCATTCAATGATTTCCTATTTCACAAAGTGTAAAAATCAGTCTTTCCCCAGCCTGGAAGGCCATACATGACCCGGCCCTTAACTATCTCTGACCTCATTTCCCACCACTGCAGCCCTGGCTCACAGCCACTCTGCCCTCTTTGACATTCCTCGTACATATACAACCCTTGCACTTCCAGAACTCTTGTACTCGCAAGTCCTTCTACATAAGCATGTGCCTTACTGCCTTAACCTTAGCTTAAATATCACTTCATCAGAGAGGCGTTTCCTGTACACTCTTAATATCCCCATTTCTCCTCCTCTTTTTTCTACTTTCTTTTTCCTTAGAGCAGTTACCATCACCTGGTATCACAGACACCTATTTATTCACTAAATATCTCCTCCACTAGAATGAGAGCCACGAAGCAGAAACTGTCTGTTTTGCTCTCTGTTATTTCATCAGTACCTGGCTCACTGTGGAAATACCAGAGTATTAATACATGACAACTGGGCATAGGTGTCTAATTAAAATAACACATTTCAGAGACAAAGAGCATTACAAAACATCAGTACCATGTGGGGAAACACTATATGGGGAAAGTATGTAATATGACTAGAAAAGGGGGAGGTTGTAAATCAATATGCATTGTTTTTGAGGATACCTTAGAAGATTATTACCTTAATTGTGGTGATGGCAATGAGTGTATATGTATGTCCAAACTCACCAGTTTGTATACATTAATTATGTGCAATTTTTTGGTATACCAATTATAACTCAATAAAGCTGGGGGGAAAAAAGTCCACCAGCATGCCAATGCACAACAGTAAGTAGGTAAAGAATTCACTACAGTCCTGTAAACAGCTGACATGGTGGGAAACACTATAGAACAGTTAAGTTACTATGCAAGAAGTTCCATCCTACCATAGAAAAATGAACTAAAAGAGCTGGTGGAAATACACGAGGTATTATCTAAGTCAGGGGAAAGCTGGCAAAGATTTCATAGCGTTGACATTAGATCTAGGCATCTTAAAGGATGAAGACAAAATTGGACGTGGATGGCAGAATTTCCGTAGAGGTAATAAAATGTGCACAGGTTAGAAGGGATAAAAGTGGGGCAGGTACCAAGAAGAAGTCAGCCAAGACTACTTACTATCCACATGACTTTGCGCAAAAAACTGAACCTATTTCAACTGAAAAATAAGGATAATGGTATCTTCCTCAGAGAGCTGCTGTGAGGAAAATGAGATGATACATCAAGAAGGATGTGAGGCAACCTAGCTATGACATCTTCCACCACTGATTTCCAAAGCCGACTTGGCTGTTCTATCTCAGATTGTCTCCCTTTCCTCTCATGGCTCCTCCAGAAGCTGGTCTACTTGGTAGAAGAGCATAACCTTCTCAATCATATACAATGGTCTAGCACAGTTCCTCACACATGGCATTTACTCAAAACACATTTACTTTTTTTTTTCCTCCTTTCTTTAACCAGATGTTCAGAATTCCACTGACAGGCCTTAGAACTGCCCTGCAATCACTGCTGGGGTCCTAATTCTCAACTTGAGAACCAGCATTAGTTTAATAAGCACCCCACCCAATCTGTACATGTATTACTTCATACTTACAGGTTGAGGCTGTTCTGCAATACAGCAGTTGAAACACAACCAGAATTCACTCATGCTTACAGTCCAAGTTATAAATGAGCACCAATGAAGTTTCCAAATCTCAATTCAGGAAGCTTCACAAAGCAGGCTTCTCAATATGATAGATGTCCAAAGATGCCAAAATAATAACTTTATTACTTCTCTGTGTTTTTGTTCCTGGAAGTCAAGTATCTTATATAGTCAATCTAACAAACAAAAGGTCAGATTGTTTCCTTTCTTTGCTTTTGATTCTACAGGGACTTGTTTCTGAACCACAGGAAAGGTATAAAAATTGTTGTCTTGACTCAGGACCTTAACAGGTAGTCTAGAAAAAAAGAAGAAAAGAAAAGAAGTTACTTTACTTATCTTACTCTTAGAAGCTTTTATTTCTTAAATCTGTGATAAAATTAAGACTATTTCCCCAAAAAGTAAACATTGAAAAAAAATCAAGATTTTAATAAACTGATATTCATTCAATAAAAAAATATTTGAGTACTTTTTCAGTGTCAGGTATTAGGAATATAGCAGTTGAAACGAGAGAGTAATCCTTGCCTTCATAGAGCATTCTATTTTATGACTGTAAACGCTTTCCCCAAAGCCATGACTCTAAACCTTGTAAGACATAAATGACAGTTATTTTTATATTTGTATAGAAGATCTTCAATGAAGATTAATGCATATATGTTCAATGTCACAAATATGGGTAATAAGGCATGAATTTAGGACCCTGATTCTACACAGTCCAGAGGACATGTCCTCCAACATACTAGAGGACAATGACATGTTAAGATCTAAACATATGTTCAAAGAGAAAGATAAGAAGGAAGAAAATGTACATTCTTGCCACAGTAAAATTCAGAACCTGGAATGCTTATTTTCAAGGAGAGGTGAACATTCCTTATGTCACCCAAACTCCTAAACAAAGAAGTAGCAGTCTTGCAACTGGCTCTGTCCAATAAAGTGGGTAAATACTATGAAGGTTTATAAGCTCAAAAGAATTGTATGTTTCATTTACTTCCTTAGTGAGAATGTAAGAGCAAAGGGTTAAATTCACAACATCATGAATATTATTTCAGGGCTATTTACTTAACAAGCTTAATTCCTCCCTGAATCAAAGACCATGGCCATTAAAATATCATTGTGAAATCTCTTTTAACCAATTTTATGAAAACAAATATGCCTTTGTTTGAAACTGAAAATTCCTTATGCTCATCACTGCTGATGTAGCACATACAAACATGAATTACTGTTTCAAATCTACTGGATTAGAAATCTGAGGTTTTAAAATCTATTGTTTGATTTATTCCATCATCATATTTTCTCATCTACATATAGAACTACACAATTTCCTTTTTATTTGTAATTTACCTTTGCCAGAAACCACCTTCAAATACTAATTTTACATTGCACGGTGTTTTATTTTCTTCTATTTTTAACTGAGTATACATTCCTTTTGTTTAACACTTTAATAGAAGACTTCCGAATTTACAATCAACATTTTAGCAAATTCAGATTCCTTCCTATTTAGAGTAAAGCTGTTCCTTATTTTGCAAATTTCAAAATATACATTTTCCCATTCCCATGTACTACTTTGAAAATGACATTCACAATATTTCCTCTTTCTTAATATTTAGTTGAAGAATGACTGTTTAAAGTACAATAATTTGTGCTTCTATTTTTGGAGATTAGACAGAAAGGATACTTCAGAATAATGACCTAGATAACAGATATGATGAAATACATTTTCAAACCAAGGGGATGTTTGCAACTCCACAGGTTTTTATTTGTTAAGTAAACATATAAATCTAAAAATGTTTCAAACATGCCTTGGAATATCATACCAATACACTTTTTCCATTTTCTTGCTTTTCTAAACAAAATTCCTTTTTAGAATCTTTTTCAAATGTATATATACTTAAAACACATTTATACATAAACACCTTGTAGAGAAGTAGTGAATCTGTCACAAAAAATTTCAACATTACCACTAATAATAAATATATTAACAGGTACTTTCACTTCTTGAGCTCAAAGTTGCTTAAATCATGTCCATTTTGAAAACCTTACTTTAAAAAAAAATCTTAAGATAACAAAAGAAGAGTCACTTTGCAACAACATCAACAACTAAACTTGGCTCTAAACACAGCTCAGCACATTCCACACATAAATGAAGGGTCAAACTGGGCTACAGCACCAGAGAGTATTTCACGAACTCATAATTTCATTAGACATAAGATTTTAGAAAAGCTTCAGTGAACTGTCAGGCCACTTAGTGACTGGCAGAGATTTCCTGCATTAAAAGTTCAGTCTCTTGACTTTTAAAGAGATTGGCATGAGTAAAAAAGTGTAGTAGTATTCTCTGGTCAAAAATATAACCTCCTCCATCCCCTCCCCACCTCCTCACTTTCCACACCTACAAATGCTGCAGATATAAGCTTTATACTTGTAGGAACAGTTTCGCTGCTGACAATATGAAAAATTATGTCCCAACATCGTATCCACAAATTAATAAAATTGTTTAGGTCAACTTCCAAAGAAACAACAATAAAGCCATGATTTGAAAAACAAGGCAATGAGGCATACCTTTTAACACAAACAATTGATTCCCTTTTTTTTTTTAATGTGGAATACTTTAACTCAGTTGAGGTATTGAGCATGCTCAGTTTGTGTGAAACAGAATCAGATGTTTAGAATTTAGACTTTGATATAAGAGATGTGTGGCAGTTGTTAGTACTACACTAATTTTTAGCAATGTTAACTTGGGCAAGTGACAAGCTCTATCATTAGCTATAAAAAATGGAATGCTTCACTGCCAATGTCACAGGTCTGAAATGAGGGCTAAATTACGATGTACATAAGGGCACTGCATATATCATAAAGAGCTATACTGATACAAGATGCTCTTTTATTTGTTATCAAAATTAAAATAGCTAATAGCAGAATGAAGTAGTAAAAATAATTAATTTGTAATAGCTGTAAATTTTTAGGAAACAGCCTAAAAGTCTATTCAAAAAAAAAAAAAAAAGAATAAAAATTTTTTTAAATGAACTGAGAGATAATCTACGGAATGGGAGAAAATATTTGCAAACACTGCAACCCACAAGGGCTTAACTGCCAAAATATACAAACAGCTCATACAACGAAAAAAAAATCAAACAACCCAACTGAAAAAAGGGCAGAAGACCTAAAGAGACATTTCTCCAAAGAAGAAATACAGGTGGTCAATAAGCACATGAAAAGATGCTCAACATCGCTCACTATTAGAGAAATGCAAATCAAAACTACAATGAGATACCACCTCACACCGGTCAGAATGGTCTACAAAGAACTAAAAAGTTTACAAAGAACAAATGCTGGAGAGGGTGTGGAGAAAAGGGAACCCTCCTATACTGTGGGTGGGAATGTAAACTGGTACAGCCGCTATGGAAAACAGTATGGAGGGTCCTCAGAAAACTAAAAATACAATTACCATATGATCCAGCAATCCCACTCCTGGGCATACACCCAGACAAAACTATAATTCAAAAAGATACATGCACCCCTATGTTCACAGCAGCACTATTTACAATAGTCAACACTTGGAAACAACCTAAATGTCCATCAACAAATGAATGGATAAAGTAGATGTGGTATATACATACAATAGAATACTACTCAGCCATAAAAAAGAACAAAATAATGCCATCTGCAACAACATGGATGCAATTAAAGATTATTATACTAAGTGAAGTCAGAAAGAGCAAGACAGGGGCTTCCCTGGTGGCGCAGTGGTTGAGAATCTGCCTGCCAATGCAGGGGACATAGGTTCGAGCCCTGGTCTGGGAATATCCCACATGCCGCGGAGCGGCTGGGCCCGTGAGCCATGGCCGCTGAGCCTGCGCGACTGGAGCCTGTGCTCTGCAACAAGAGAAGGCCACAACAGTGAGAGGTCCGCACACCGCGATGAAGAGTGGCCCCCGCTCGCCGCAACTAGAGAAAGCCCTTGCACAGAAACGAAGACCCAACACAGCCATAAATAAATAAATTTAAAAAAAAAAAAAGAAAGAGCAAGACAAATACCATATGATATCATTTATATGTGGAATCTAACATATGACACAAATGAACTTACCTATGAAACAGAAACAGAATCATGGACATAGAGAATAGACTGTGGTTGCCAAGGGGGTGGGGGGTGGGAGAGGGATGAACTGGGAGTTTGGGGTTAGTAGATGCAAACTATTACATATAGAATGGATAAACAACAAGGTCCTAATGTACAGCACAGAGAACTATATTCAATATCCTATGATAAGTCATAATGGAAAAGAATATGAAAAAGAATGTATATATCTGTAACTGAGTCACTTTACTATACAGCAGAAATTAACACAACATTATAAATCAACCATACTTCCATTAAAAATTTTTTTTAAAAAAAGAATAATCGAATAGGGACTTCCCTGGTGGTGCAGTGGTTAAGACTCCGCACTCCCAATGCAGGGGTTCCCTGGTCAGGGAACTAGATCCCACATGCATGTTGCAACTAAGAGTTCACAGGCCACAACTAAGGAACACACATGCCCGAACTAAGACCCGGCACAACCAAATAAATAAATATATATTAAAAAAAAGAATAAACAGATAGCATTTTAAACTGAAAAGAAATGAATGGTGCTCCATTCGTACAAAAGAACACTATACAAAATGAAAATGAATGGTAGTTTCATCCAACACACTGGACAATTCTCAGTGCCATGTTATTGAGGGAAAGAAGGCACAAAACAATATACATGGAATGATTTCCTTTATATGAATTTCAAAAACAAGTTCAACTAAACTATTTTGTTTAGAGATGCATATAGAAGTATAAAAGTAAAGCAAGAAAATTATAACAGAAGTCAGGAAAGTGGTTAGGGCTGAGGGCAGGAATTAAGAATTAGGAAGAGATGCATAAGAGCTCCTGGAACACTGACAATATTCTACCTCTTGACTTAAGTGGTAGTTACACAGGTACTTGCTTTATAATTTTGTATTAAATAGTACATTTATGGTCTATGCAATTTTTTATATATTATATCTTTAAATAATAACAATTTAAATAATACATAAGTAAAAGAAGCAAATACTAACAATTTCAAGTTGTTTGTAATAGAGTGATGGAAATGCAAAATACAATGTCAAGTAAAAATGAACACACTTTGCTAGAAACTTTGAAGGAACTGGTAAAATTTGGGAGGTTTGAGTGGCGAAAGGGGTGATGAGGTCTGAAGTTCTACCAGATGCCAAAGAGATTTCCACCAGAAATGCAAAAATTACTAATCAATGACCAAGTCTGAATTCTCA